AGAGAGAGAGAGAGAGAGAGAGAGAGAGAGAGAGAGAGAGACAGATAGAGAGCAACAGAGCTGATGAGAGAAAATGATTGGGCAGTGTGAAATGACAAACAGTAGAGCAAACAGAGGGAAGGTAAGAGAACAGTGGCAAATTTTTTGATTTCTTTTTTTAATAGAGAACAGTTGCAATTAAAGAATGGTGTATCGAAGAATTAACTTACCGCATCTGTACAACCGAAAGTTTCCCTATTCGAGACATGGCAAACAGAGGCCAAAAATCAGAGGACAATCTCTGTGCAACGATACAATTCGACTCTTTCCACTGATTTGCAGATGTGTGTGTGTTTTGCTGTGAGCAGGATTTGTTTTTCTTCACACCCGTGGATTTCCTAGTTGTGAGAAAAAGGGAAAAAAAAGAAACGTCTCACAGCAGGGTGTTTTTTTTTCCCCTTTTTCACACTTGGCGACATGGGGCGTCGCCGCACTGCTCCCCAATTGTGCAAAATGAGAATGAATCTTCCGCTCCGCTAGAACGTGAAAAGATACACTGCCATGTTTTTTTGTCATTTGTGCATGTGGAGAGTAGTGCAGCGAGGCCCATGGAGATGGATTAGTAGGAGTTTGCATTTCGAACTTTTGCGGAGAAAAAAAACCGCAGCGGTGGTACAGCGTGGGCTGTTGTACACTGGATGCAGGTGTATGCTGGTCGGTCATAATAGGCGGAATACATCTTGTGCTCCTGCGTCTATCCTCTGGTCTCCTCCGTCTGTTAGTCCTCCCCCTCTTGTTTTGTCGTTCTTGTCCTGCTCCTTCCGTTTGTGGGTCATACTCTCCTTGTTTATCGTGCCGATGGTCATCCTCCCCCTGGTTGTTTTGCCCCCCCCCCCCTCTCATCCTCCTCGTTGTCCTTTTCCCACCCGGTCTTTCCTCTTTTTTTCTCTTCGTCCTGCGCGCTCGCTATACACGGGAGATCAGCATGTCATGCATCCGTAGGCCAATGAGATAGACAGGAAGGAGAAGCAGAGTTTCGCACGAAAAAAGAAGAGATCAAGAAGGGAGAGGATTATAGTTACAACTGCGATTGCCAAGAAGAGATTACAGTTACAGTTATAATTTAGGCGCGGCGGGGGCAGAGCGGAGGGCAGGACGCAGCAATGCGCATGCGAGTAGGGAGCTTCGCGCGCTTACGGCCAAAAAAATTGCGATGCTCCTAAATTTCCAGCCTAACTAGAGTCCTAACTGCAAAAAGAAATTCCGCGATCACGAGCAAGTTCAAAATTGAAGAAGAAATTTAAAAAGATTCCCCGTCAGCGATCGCGCCAAAAATTCCCCGCCCCAAAGCAAACAAGAAAGGAGCTATGGCGACCGTTAAAGCGAGATCAATTTTACCAGCCGCCGTGGGACCAACCCCTTTCCAAAAGGCGGGGGCATTCATGCAATTGGGCGGGCCTCTCCCGATCAACCTTCGAAACACAGCCGCGCAGAAAGTCGCGCGTTTACGGAAAGTAGTTCGTCACAACACAGAACGGCCGCGGGCCAATGAGAATGCAGCATTTTTGTCACACACTAGCCAGCAGCCAATGAGATCGCGGCGGACATTTGTAGCCTCGTAGGCTACCTGGGCGTGCCCAACTTTAAAGGGGCCCACGCCCGTAACAGCAACTGGTGGCCTGGGCGCAGACACTGGGGCCCAAGTGGAAGCTACTGGAAACTCGTCCAGCCAGGCCCAGAGCTCGACAAAGCAGAGCTCACTTTCCATAAAGCAAAGTGAGCACGGCATCCAGGGGGGATTCTGGCCGTGTGCTTGCTGGCGGCAGCGCTGCTGGTTTGACCGCTGGAGGCCACTGGTAGTCCAAGGGCAGGACGAGGCACAGACGGGCACATTGTGGTGTTGGGCTGTGCTGGTGCAGCGGGCGCTGAGCAGCCATGGACGGGCTTGTTCATCGGAGGCTGGTAATAGTGATGGTGGTCCTTGGGTGTTGGGGATGCACACTGTGGGAAGTCAAGGAGTGATGTGAGAGGCGAGAGAACGTACCTGGTGTATGCTGGCAGTCTGCATTCGTGATGACCTCACGTACATTGGTCTTCCACTTCGATATGATCCAGTTGCATGAACGTAGATAGGCATAGATAGGCTGAGTAGTGTAGGCTGGGCGTCGGGCGCCAGACAGTAGGAGCGACATTGGATCCTGTATTGGTGAGACCAAGAGCGTCGACATTGACATATGAGTTCATTGTATTGCTCTTATTTGGATAGTACCTTGGTGCATTGTGCTCTCTGCTTGGTACATGACATGACTATCTGGCTACATTGTGATTTTGCAATCTGGACTTCTGTCTATCGCTCTCGCTCACATTCCTTGCAAATGCAAATCAAAAGATTTTATTATATATCTTTTGGCCCAAAAAAACGATTTTGCAATCTGGACTTCTGTCCATCGCTCTCGCTCATATTCCTTGCAAATGCAAATAAAAAGATTTTATTATATATACAGTCTTTTGGCCAAAAAAACGAAGTAAAAGATGAGTCATCCGACCTCGAAGATGAGTTGGTATACTTCTCTCGGTCTTTTGCGTAATATCAACTGTAGTTCTGCTCCACTCAGTTCAATATCTAAGTTAAAAAAAACAAAATAACAAAAAAACAAATTCATCAGACCTCGGGGAATGTTACGGTCTTCACCACCCGAATAGAACGCTAGCTCATTATAGACGTATTTGGAGCAACTTTTAGCCCAGGTACTTTTAGTCCAGGTCTTCACCACCCGAATAGAACGCCAGGTCATTATAGACGTATTTGGACCTCCCCCCTTGCTCGGCGCGAGCCCTGTTCATGTTCTCTTTATCTGTCTGGCAGTATTGGAAGGCTGAAGGTTGCATTCGAGGGGGGGGAGAAGAGTCGAACGGGATAGAAATCGATTGGGTGAGGAGATCGGATGCATAGCATCCCAACCTGAGGGAGGAAATGGGATGCATCAGGCAGGGATTCTGTCGGGCAGGGTGGCGACCTTCATCAGATTGGGAATCGATTGTCGATTGCAGCAAAGCGATGGGGATGAAAGGAGAACGCGCGGGAGGAGCAGGAGGAGGACGACAAAGAGGAGGAGGAGAGGAAAGAGGAGAAAGTGAGCAGGAGGAGGAGGACAAAGAGGAGGAGGAGAGGAAAGAGGAGAAAGAGAAGGGGGAGACCAAGTTGATGTTGGACTAAGAGAGGACAGAATGCGACAGCCGAGAGGGGAGGAGGATGAGGAGAAAGGGAGAGGAAAGGGGAGAAGCAAAGGGTGGAGAAAGAGAAAGAGCCAGAGCATCGTGGAGAGCGGCTAGTCCCCCACGCCGCGGCCCCATCATACACCTGTAGGCACTCCCTTCTCTTCTTTACGCCTTGCTTCAGCATAATCCGGAATTATCTCACGCTACCAATTGCTATAAAGCTCGCATGCGCGACTAATTCGCTCTCTAATCTACACTAGGGATTTAGCGCGGTCGAGAGGATTGGCTAACGAGCAGAGAACAAAATGGTGAGTAGGGAGTTGGGCGATCCGACGAGCGGGTGCCGGGTATGGGGGGTTGACGTGTGGCCGTGAAGGACTGTGGCACATGGGCGAACCTGGCTGGTGTACTCGGGCTAAGCGGGGTGACAACTTCGGATGGTTAATAGGTGCGAGGCGATGGACTGTCCGCATCGTGGGAGCTTAGGGAGGGAGAGAGAGAGAGCGGTGTGCTGAAGTGATGTTACCTCTTCACATTCCCTTTTTTTTTTTTTTTTTTTAACACTTCCTCCAGTGCTAGCGGTGCCGGTAAGAGCAGACACTGCTAGCACCCGGGGAAAGGCTCCATCTATTGGTGGGGAGCACCTGCTGGAAAACGGGTCCAGCGTCCCTCGTACAAATTGATTCGAAAAATAGTCAGAAAAAAGAAGAAACTGAGAAGATCCTGCCAGCATTGATTACTCTGAATTCAGAGGATTGACTGAGCAGGTAGTTGAAAGAGCGCTGCTAATGCCAACCTTCTCCCTTCAAACTGTACCCTACCCCCCTGCCAACTCCACAACTGGAAGCCCCGAGGGTCTCACACATCCCTGGTTTGGAGACACGAAAGTACCACTGGGGGGCACCAGCGGGGCCGTTCGTCCCCCTGCCCATTTATAACCCATCCGTCTACCAAATTCCGCTTGGCTGCTAGCAGTGCCTGTTCCCCTTCCTCGACCTGAGGCGGTGGGGGCCGCTGGGGGCCACCAATGGTTCTTCCCATCGTTTCCTTGCCGCGCCTCCATCCTTCCAGGCTATGTACATTCTCAGAAGGACTTGAGTCCGTCCTTTTGTTTGAAACGGGAAATCCATACTCTAATTTCAAGGGCCAAAGGGTGTGGTGGGAAGGGGTCCGGGAAGTCCTCTGCTGGCCTCATGGGGCTTTCTGGGCCAATGTAATTCAAGTTTTGTCTTAGGCCATTTTTGTCTGCGCACTTTTGGATTTTCCTTTATTTCCCCTCGATGGATATATGAAGCATCTTTCCCTCCCCCATCCCCTCGTCTTCAATATGGAATGCATGACTTTTGTACTAATTGACTGATTGATGAAACAATTTGCATTGTTGACCAACGAGGCGAGGGATCAGGATGTGTGTGGAGTAGGCACCTGGCTGATGTAGGGAAAGGGTATGGAACCCAGCCCCATGGATGTACCGTTATGCAGCATTGGTCGACTGAGTCAGGACAAATGCATGAATGACAGGCAGTGTACACTGTACAGTCTGGTCTGGGTATGGATGACGCAACTGACACCTGATGCGTGAAAGTATGTTTTCCGACAAACAGCCGTCTGATTTGTACAGGTTGATCATTAACCGACTGGAACGGTTCATGAGCACGCACGTATATGAACGATCGCCAAGAACGGCAGTCCTCCCGTATACGCGTGTCTGCATGACTTGACCCCGACACTACCCCCGACCAGATGTACGAGTTGATTCCCTCTTGTGGAACATGGAGATCAGCATCCCTTTCTGGGTCACCGATCGTGCCAGTTTAAGGAACTCCGAGTATCGGAATTACTGGGAGAATGAACAACACTCCTGCTGATCGAACTTGAAGCCCCCGGCCTACCCCTGCCAAACCGAGGACGATCAGCTGTGTGCTTGGGACCTTCACCAGGCCATCAAACGGAATTCCCGAATCCCGGACTACCCCGACACCCGTATTTGCCAATACTACATCTCGCCGGGATTCGTCGCCATCGAAGCCCCCTTTCCTCCATTCTATCTCCTTCTCCCCTACCACAGTCTAACGGCTGTCCCCTGCGAACCGATAGCCCCCTGCTGGCCCCGAAGGCCGTGTTCCGAGTGCCAGCAGTACAACACCTACCGAGCCGCGGGATTCGTGCGACGAACCCGCTCCGAAGCTGAGCGCCGAGAACACAGTCTCCGGCTGAGGCCGTCCACGCCGGACTCTGAGATCTGCGAAAGACGCCCACTGTGTTCCCTCAATGCACCAAGTACCAACCGGCCCTAGGCGACATGGCTGGGGGAACTAGCTGCTCGGCTCGGAGAGGGGCAAAACCAAAGACCTGGCCCTACGCAGAATCACCTGAATTTTCGTGCTTGAAACTTGGCACCGGAGATCTCAGTTCCGGCCTGGGACTCCACCCCCACTTTCCTAAAATCCTTGGCACACCCCTACTACGCACTTCCGGGGCCGTCCCACTCCGAAAACAGGAAGTCGCGCTGGCTGTGAGGTTGGGCTCACATTGTGTCGGCCTCTGGTGGCTCATGCCCAGGACCTCAACTGTACGTGCCCTGGGCTCAACTGCCCTTCCAGCCGCTGCTGCCGGAATGAGCCGAGAAAAAGGCTTGCAATGTCTGTAACCAACTGGTGTGTTGCAACTGTCTGATACCCGACATGCAGAATTGACAAATATAGGCCTCTTGTAAATATTCTGGCCCGCCTTCACTTAGGGCGGGCACAAGTCTCTCCGGGGTCTCAGCCGAGATGTGGGGTGAGTTCTAGAAAGGCCACTGTGCAGGCCAGTGTGATCACGCAAAAGGGATGTTGGAATCTAAATTGACAAAAATAGGCCTCTTGTAAATATTCCGGCCCGCCTTCACTTAGGGCGGGCACAAGTTTCTACGGGGCTTCAGCCAAGATGTGGGGTGAGCCCTTCAGGCCTCTTGTATCTGGCCCGCCTTCACTTAGGGCGGGCACAAGTCTCTACGGGGCCTCAGCCGAGACGTGGGGTGAGCCCTAGAAAGGCCACTGCGCAGATTCAGGCCCGCATATAGATTCCAACAGCCCTTTAGTGTGATCACACTGGCCTGTACCCAGGCCTTGGCACATATTAGCAGGCCCGCCCTCACTTAGGGCGGGCACAGCCTTTTCCAGCACTGCCGAGGGCTCAAGTCTACGCATACCTTCCCCCTTAGCTTTGAAAGTCCCGTGAGAACTCTTGAGAATATATCTGATAATTGTAGTATACTTGAAGTAGCAGGACGTATCGCTGATGCCTTCATCCATGGTTGGGGGCAGCTCATATCCTCCTTTGATAAAATGAATAATTAGCCTTAGTTCCAAAGAGGGAGGAACTTACACATGCCGGTTCTTACCTGCTGTTTGGGATGACAGGTCGTTGCGCCTGCTGTTTGGGACGACGGGGTCGATCGCCCACGCCTCTCCCCTATTAAGGCTATTACGGGTGTCCTTGTGTCACTGGATGCTGCGCTGTTTTCTCAACTGTGGTGATGTTTCTTCTCGCTTTGGGACTACTACTCTAGGGATTCCTTCAAAAATCACGCTTGGACTTTTGTGCACCTCTTTGGGATAGTTTATGGCTGTTTGGTAATGATTATACTTTGGAGTGACTTCGGGTGATTTTGTTTAACTATTTTGAATTTTGTTGGAGTCCGCATCAAATGGCTCGTTTGTAATGATTATCGTTTGGAGGGACTTCGGGTGATTTTGTTTACTTAAATTACTTTGGAATTTTGTAGGACTCCGGGTCAAATGGGTCTTGTAAATAACGTTAAGAGTCGTCTAATTAGGTTTGGTCTTGTTCTTTCTTTTTTTTTCGGAAAAAGAGTAAACATTTTCGGGAACTGCACCCGGCGTCCCTTACAAAGTTCGCCGCAGCTCACAGAGTGTTAGAATTTAGGATATATTCTAATTAGGGTTTCGTGCTGCGGATTTTGCGCTCGCTTAATTGGGGTCTAATTAGTTTTTCGTGCTGCGGATTTTGCGCTCGCTTAATTAGGGTTGTTGTGGTGGGCTGTGGCGAGGGTTAGGCTTGTCCACAAGTGGCTTATTTTTGCCCGTACGGGCGAGGCATATGAAAGGGATGCCGAGCCCGATTCCCAGCTATATGAATATACAAAGCGAAGCGGGGTAATGGTATTAAAAAAAAAAAAAAAAAAAAAAAAAAAAAATCATAAATTTTTTGCAGCATTTTTTTTTTTTTTTTTCTGCATCGCAGTCACTCCTTTTTTTATTATATTTTTTTTTTTGTTTTCTACAAATTTTTTATTTATCATTTCTTTTTT